CTAGGATTACAGGTGTGAGCCACCGCGCCCGGCCCACTAATGGGTTTTAAAGAAGGCGAGAGGTGGCTTTCAGTTGGTGTTTAGTCCAGTGTTTCTAACACTGTAGCAGAAGACCAGTTGTTTTACTTCTGATCTACTGCGGGCCATAATTTTTATAAAATACAATACAAATGAATTACCAGAAAAACGATCATGTGCTTAGATGTCATAGCAATGTCAATTGCTATAAACACTTCTAAACAGTTATTCTTAATTTTTGTCATCTCCTCTTAGACCAGTAACAAATAGTCCCTGGACTGGGATCAGTTGTGGACTATGCTTTGAGTAACACCTCTTTAGAAGAACTTCTCCAGTTGCTATTTAAAGAATAAATGGGCTAGGCCAGGTGCAGTGGCTCACGCCTGTGATCCTAGCACTTTGGGAAGCTGAGGTATGAGAATCACTTGAGGCCAGGAGTTCAAGACAAGCCTGAGCAACATAGCAAGACTCTGTCTCTGAAAAAGAAAAACAATAGAAAAATTAGCTGGGCATCGTGTCACACCTGTAGTCCCAGCTACTTGGAGGCTGAGAAAGGAGGATCCCTTGAGCCCAGGAGTTTGAGGTTGCAGTGAGCTATCATAACTGCACTCTAGCCAGGCTGACAGAGCAAGACCCTGTCTCAAAAAAAATAAATAAATAAGGTAAGTGGATGTATTGGTTGTCCGTTTTAGTGCAGATAACAGCATCTGTCCTCACTAGTTTAACTCACAGGGATTATTCTGTTTAAATAGCTTCACAGAATCATTGGGATGACTAAAGAAACAGACTCTAGGCTTAGCTTCTAGGAAGTAGCTTCCAAAAGCAACTCTATAGGATTGCACTGCTCAGGAAGCTACTGCCTCTGCCACAGACAAGACTCTGCAAAATAAAGTTGCTGCAGCTCCCAGCTCTAGTGTCACACCATCTGTGCCAGGGTCAGGAAGCTACCATGATCTGTGCCCTCTGAATGGATGCTTTCCCCTCCTCTCATCTGCCCCCATACCTGGGCCCAAATCGTCTTTCACGAGTGGTCCCATTTAGGCAGAACCCAAGTCACATCTGGAACCCCCAGCTGTAAGGCACTCTGAAGAACATTGTTTTGGGCTTTCAAGCCGGCGTGCTAGGTGAGGGTTGGGATGAGTCCTGAGCGAGCCAGTCTGCAGTGTGTGCCATAGAGGCAAGAATGGTGGCAGGGCCTGGGGAAAGATGGTAAAGGCCCGTGTCCACTCACTTTGGAAGAACTTCCCTGGATTCTTCATTGGAGTGAGTTGGTAATTGGGGTGAATAGAGAACCAGCCACATCATCAGCAGTCCTATTTTGTTTGTATGGGTACATCGTGCCTGTGGCTTTGGGCTCATGCCATCTGCAGTAGGAAAGACTGTCTTGGAATTTATAAAGGAAAAATTGTGTGTAAAGGAGGTTAAGTATCCCTCATAACCTGATTACAGAGGCAGCTACTATTTTACAAGGTTGTATCTGATTCTCTTCTCTTTTTTAACTGTTCCAGGTTCAATTCATCTGCTTTTGTGAATGGCTAATTCAGTGTTCTCTTCACCCTCACTGGTGCCCACTCTAGAGCCTCGGGTGGCTACCCCTTCACCTCCTGTGTCCCGTCTTGTTTTCTTATCTCACACACTCTGCCTGACACATAGCTGTTTCTTTATGGTTTATCCTACTCTCTCCACTAGAGTGGAAGCTCTCTGATAGTGGGGCCATGTTGGCTTCGTCACTGGTGTCCTCTTGGAGCCTAGCACTGTCCTGTGTGTTGCAGGTGTCAGTTGTCTACCTGGATGATGTTGGTAGATACTGAGCATCATAGTTAGACTGTTTGCACTGCAAGGAGCACATACCATTCAACCAGTTCACAAACAAAGGAGTGAGTTTATTGTAAAATCATAGATCTCTTGTAGAAAGTCCAGTCAGGCCTCCCAGGAGGTGGAAGCAGGAAAGCTCCGATTGCCAAGGCCATACCATTGACCGCTTCAGGGCTACACCATCTCCTGCCATGGCTCCTCTGCCTGTCCTCCTCCCCCTCTCTTGGTAGACTTGGCCACCAGACCTTGAGATCCTCCATTGGAGGCAGCCTCTGCATTCAAATTGTTGAGAGAGAAAATGAAATCCCAGTCATTGCCCACTGGCTGTCTTCCAGAGCACCAGCAGCCTCTGGTCCAGAAGGCTGGCCTGTTACCTTAGGGTTATACCTTTTAGAGGCTATGACTTGAAATTAAAGTCAAGTAAAATGTGACATCTTCTGAAAGAAGGATAAACTGCGATGTTGGAAGCGTAGTATTAAGAGTTTTTGAATCTAATAAAAAGCTACCGGAAGGAAGGCAAGGCCAGCCACAGGAGCGTGAGTGCGGGTGCTGCTGTAGAGCACTGTGCCTGCAGCAGTCGTGGGAAATGCGCCTCTCTTCTGTGAAAGAAGGCAGTGTGGACTGTGAATTCTAAAGCAATCAGTGGTCTTCTGGGCTTGAAAAAAAAGTACTTTTGTTGAACTGTAATCTACCTCCCTTTAAAATGGAAATCTCAGCTGGGCACACGCCTGTAATCCTAGCACTCTGGGAGGCCAAGGCGGGAGGATCGCTTGAGCTCAGGAGTTCAAGACCAGCCTGAGCAAGAGTGAGACCCTGTCTCTACTAAAAATAGAAAAATTAGCCAGGCACGGTGATGTGTGCCTGTAGTCCCAGCTCCTTGGAAGGCTGAGGCAGGAGGATCGCTTGAGCCCAGGAGTTTGAGGTTGCGGTGAGCTAGGTTGATGCCACGGCACTGTAGCCCGGTGCGTGGGTTGGGGAGGCTACCTACATAAATAAATGAATGAATGAATGAATGAATGGAAATCTCCCTGTGGACAGGAAGCCTAGGAAAACACCGGGCTAAACACTAAAAAACATTAAGTGACTCCTAATGTTTTTCATAGGCAACACAGTTTGAAGAAAAGTGTCCTCGAAGGCCCACCCTGAGGCTCAGGTTAAGATAATCAAGACTGTGCTACTCTTATGATTATCACTCATACTATTCTCACTGAAATCAAAATGTATGCGCTTTGAATGTTCACAGCATTTGTAGCACAAAGAAATGATAAATGTTTGAGATGACAGATACGCTAATTACCCTGATTTGATCATTACACATTGTATATATGTATCAAAATAACACTCTGTATCCCATAAATATGTACAATTATTACATGTCCACTAAAATAAAAGGGAAAAAATGATCAACAGTTCTCTGTCATTCTTCAGGAATGTTTATTGATTGTTTATTTTTATTTTATTTTATTTTATTTTGGAGACAGAGTCTC